TATAGACAAATTCTCAAAACTAACAGGATCTAAAATTTCCTACTAGTCTAAATTGAGAACTAGATTAAGTACGAGAAAGATTTCTCAGCACAAAGCGTTGCTCAACATACGAGAAGCGTTCTCTAAGGTTTGACGAGAGGAAAGCAGTGAAAGGTAATACTTGGAAGCACTACTAACGACCGGTTGGAGAAAGGATTGGCCTATTTGCTCGATACCCATCACCTAGTGGAAAATTCAACAAGGCAGAAAGGTCCACCGGCCATGCTACGACCATTGCAACAAACTAGTCACTCAAAAGAAGTACGATGGAAAAAGGATGGGAAGCCAAGGAATTGGAACCGAAGAACTCAAAAGACAATGGTCATGCAAACCTAGCAACCTCTCAAAGTCTTGAACCATTTAGTAGCGAACATGTTTAGTAGCGAACAAATAGCAACCCTCCAGCAAATTTCCATGACACGTTGCAGGGAACGCAATCCTTTTAGAGACTGCAACTCTAGCACAAAGAAATGCTTTGACCACTCGTATGATGCAGAGCAAGCCTTGGATTGTGGACTCTTATGCGTCAGATCATATGACCGGTGACTGAAACGTCTTCTCCTTCCAGCCAGAATCGAATGTTACCACAATCCAAGCGGATGGGTCTAATTCGCAAGTAAAGGGTATTGGTATAGTTGTTATATCAAAGTTCATTCTACTAAAATTTGTGCTACATGTTCCAAATCTGGAGTACAATATTTTATATATCAGTAAACTCACCCAAGATTTGAACCGTCATGCAAAATTTGTTCCTTATATATGTGAATTTAAGGTTGAGCTCAGGGAAGAAGATTGGCAGTGTTGAAGTCCAAGTAGATTTGTACCTACTTGATACCAATGTGTCCGCAAACTCCTCCAGATTCAAGTCGGCCTTGTTTATGGTTTCCAGCGTAGAAAGTGATGTTATGTTATGGCACCGTATACTATCCCAATTTCTTGTATTTGCATAAATTATTTCCCTTGTTAATAACAAAGAATCTTAGTTCTCTTAAATGCAAAACATGCCAATTATCAGCACATGTTTGACACTCGTATCCTCTAATTCCTTACAAAGTCTCTCATCTGTTTCACCTTGTTGATGTTTGGCGACCATCTTGAACCAAAAATATACACAATAGTTTGTCACGTTATCGATGACAACACCCATGTAACTTGGTTATTCTTAATGAAGTTAAATTCGGAGTCCAGGCTATCTTCCAAAAGTTCCACAAAATGATTCAAAGTCAAATTTCCTCAAAATTCCAAATTTTAAAAACCAACAATGCCAAAGAATATTTTCATTCCAAACTTGCAATATACCTTTCCCAGGATAGTCCATATAAAAATTCATGTATAAACACAACCCAACAAAATGGCATGGCCAAAAGAAAAAATCAGCACCTCTTGGAGGTTACCCGCTCTCTCCAATTAGCCAACCATGTTCCTAAGCATTACTAGAGAGGCTGTTATGACAACAACATACTTGATCAATCACATGCCTCTCGTATCCTCACCTTCCAAACACCACATTAAACACTTCTATCCACATATCTTCACCTCAAACTCATGTCTCATACTCCTCTGAAAGTGTTTGGGTGTACCTCATTTGTCCATAATACTCGGCCAGACCGTAGCAAACTTGACCAGTGTTCGTTTAAATGTAAATTCCTAGGGTACTCGACGTACCGTGTTACTCTTCGTCCACAAACAAAGTGTACAACACCATAGATGTCACCTTCGAAGATCAACAATTCTATGCCAAAACCGATACTTCAAGGGATATTGTGGAAGAATACTCATTCCTAGCATACTAAGACATCCCCTCAGACACCTCCTCAGCCCTAATCCGGTGCCACAACCATTCAAACCACCTGATCAACTCACCTACTTCAAATTTGCCCTCGACAACCATACATCAACCCTCACCAGCTTCAAATCAGTCCTCGACAGCCACAAATCAACCCTCACCGGTCTCATACAAGCCTTCGACAGCAGAAAGTCAGCCCATCGGGACAGAAAACACAAGCCCAAAATATTACATTGTGTATACAAGGTCACAGATACCTATTGTTGAGCCAAGACTAAGTCAAACTACACCAAGACCACAACCAACAAATGAGCATATGTGTAGTAATCCTTCCTCCTCATGTAATATTGAAAACTATGATGACCTGGAAATTTTAATAGCTCTCAAGAAAGGGAAAAGTAGTTGTATGATGCACCCAATAGGCAATTTCGTGTCGTATGAAATATTATCAGCTAAGTATAAAGCTTCCATTACCACCTTGGGTGAGATACAAAATTCCCAGGAATATACAAGAAGCTAGGAATGGAAGGAGACAGTGAACGAGGAGGTTAAAGTACTGAAACCAATCGCACCTGGAAATATATCGAGCTACCAAATGGAAAGAAGACAGTTGGGTGTAAATGGGTGCTCTATGTAAAATACAATGTCAATAGAAGCGTTAGTAGATAGATATAAGTGGCCAAGAGGTTCACTCAATCATACGAAATCGATTACTCTGAAACCTTTGCACCAGTCACCAAGCTAACTCTACACGTGTGCTCCTGCCAATAGTTGCTAACCTAGACTAGCCTCTAGACCAATTGGACATCAAGAATGCATTCCTAAATGGAGGGTTGAAGGAAGATGTTTACATGGATGTAACCCAAGGACTGAATTTGGCGACAACTGAGATAAGGTATGCATACTGCTAAAATCGTTATATCGTCTAAAACAATCCCAACGTGCATGGTTTGATAGGCTCGCTCGGGTACTAAAGAGGCATGGCTTCATTCAAGGGAAAACTGACCACACAATGTTTACCAAACACTCCTCCGATGGTTGAACTGTTGTGCTGATCGTCTATGTGGACAACATATCATTACCGAAGAATTTTTTCAAGGAGATCATCCGCCTAAAAACGGTTCTTGGAAGAGAGTTCGAAGTCAAAGATCTTGGATAGTTAAAATACTTCCTAGGAGGTTGCCATATCAAAGCAAGGAATTGTTTTCTCACAAAGAAAGTATACTCTCGATCTTCTCTCCGAAACCGGACTTCTGGGATGCAAGCCAACAAGTATCCCAATGAACCTCAGCCGATGAAGGAAGTTAATTCCTTTCTCAACCAAAAGAAGATGTAAAGCTAGTAGATAAAGGAAGATACTGACGGCTGGATGGGAAGTTAATTCCTTTCTCAGACAAGACCGGATATTGGATGCGCAAATGAAATGGTCAGCAAGTTCATGAATGCTCCAACTATGCAACACATGGATGCAGTGTTCCAGATCCTCCACTATCTCAAGAAAAATCGAGGACACGGACTCTTCTTTAAGAAAACAAACAAGAGAATTTCAATCTTCATTGATTCTTACTGGGGAAGTTCAAGAACAGATCGCCACAACGGTTATTGCAACTTTGTTTGGGGAAATTTGGAAACTTGAATAAGAGAGACAACACATAGTTTCCAGGAACATTGCAAAGGCTAAATTCAGGGCCATGTGCCATGGGATTTGTGGGTTAAAAGGATGCTCAAGGAATTAAGGCTTCTCAACAAGAAACCAACAAGGCTTCTATGTGACAACAAGGTAGCCATGAAAATTTCAAAAGTCGGGTGCATCATGACGTAACAAACATGTGGAGATAGAGCGACACTTTATCAGAAAGCAGATAGAGACAAGAGTACTTGAGCTTTCCTTTGTGCTAAGGGTGTTTGTGGTCCGATTTCGGCGGTTTAATCACCCAAACCACAAATCAAACCATAATAGCGGTTTAGAAATTTTCCAAACTGAACGATTTTGCTACAATTGATCAAACCGGACCGCAAAAAGACGGTCAGTCTGACCGGTTTAGGTGGTTTGGCCCTTTTATGGATTTAAACCAAAAAAAACATAGAACTATATCCAAAACAAAATTTTTGCCAACATAACATTAATAAAAAAAATAGTATACATAAATAAAGAATTAACGTTTATCTCCAAAATTAAAAACAAAAAATATTGAGAAAACTAAAAAGAAGTTAAATAAGTCCACCAAAAATAGTTGGAAGGACAAACATTAAGCAAGTCGAAAGACAATTTAGAATTTTGTATTTGATTTTTGATGGATTTTGGGATTTTGTCAATTTAGATAACACGGTCAATTGAGAAATGCAACTAAAAATATAATGCCTTGGACGACTTTACTTAATTGGGTCATAGAAGTTGAACCTACAACACGAAAACTAGTTATAATTAATAACATGTGTAGTTTGGCGGTCGGTTCAGTCATAGCGCTTAAGAAAACATTCAAACCGCAGACCAGACCAGACAGAGCGGTTTGGCTATTTTTCAGACCGAACCGGACAACCGAACAGCCAGACCACTCAAACTGCCAAAAACGGTCCGGTTTGACTAGGTTTGAGCGGTCTAATGGTTTTTTTGAACACACCTACTTCGTGCCATCTGAATTTCAGGTAGATGATGTCCTTAACAAAGTTTTACCCAAGACCATGTTTGAGAAGATGATAAACAAGTTAGATATGATTGACCTCCATACTCAGCTTGAAGGGAGTGAAGATTTTCTGTTCGTGATCATATCACAGATCTCGTCGATCAAGTAAATTGGGATGTTATCCCTAATTTCTAGTATTCATTAAATTAAGAGATTTTTCCTATCCTTTCCTTAGTTGATATTGCTCTTATCCTTTCCTTAGTTAGTTGAGAAAGATATGGAAAGGATTTTCCATCACTTGTATACATAGTTGTGCTATTGTGTTTGTGAACCAATAAGAAATATATGAAAACCTCTAAGGTTCAACCCTAACTAAAGTTTCTTAAAGAAGTAATCAGAATATCAATATAGATGCAAATTTCTACGGCAACAATCAAGTACTTGATTCAAGAAATAGTATCTCACAAACAAGTCACCTAGCGTAGCTCATGCAAAGGGGGGAAAAGCAAGTTAAACACATACAAGAAAACAGAAAAGCGTATTGTGCTTACTCAAAAGCAGCAGCAAGCCGAGTAAATCCACCAAATGGGCACCACATTGACTGCAAAAGCAAGTAGTGATCATTGTAACATATGTCGTAGTGTCCAAGTGATAAAGCAAGACATTTTTGGGAAGTGTGGAAGAAAAGAAAGAGAATGCATACACAGTTAAGCATGCCTAATAAATTATCCCACAATGACGCATGCTTTTTATTAACTTTCATTCACATAAATGGCCCTAGTGCACCAAGGTCCAAGGGTCAGGGAGGAAATCTATATAGTATGTACTTACCTTTCCCTTGCAGAGAGGTAGTTTTTAACTTGTCATGTGACCTTCCAATCACAAAGGAATAACCATACCAGTTACTTTTTGAGGGTTGGGTTTGTATGTTTAACTTGCTAAATGCATTTCTCAAAAAAAAAAACAATATTTTGCGGTTGAAATGATAATTAATAATCGCAACACTTGAAATACTTTGAGTTGCAAAGAAATCGAATTTAGTAATTATTGATTGCATAAGCAAATTCATTAACAATCAGATTACATAAACAAATTCAATAGCTTCCATAGATAAAACACGGTTATGGTTTCTTCTAGCATTTTCTACAAGGGCATAACAGATACTCATATCTGTTGTGAGGTCCACAAGTTAGGAGGAAAAAAAGTAGGAACTCCCGTTGTCCCATAGTGTTTCCCCAGAACCCTAGGTTTAGCACATAGGGAATATTTGATTAGACTTCAATCCTTAGTTGTCCTCCACAAAGTTAAAGTTTGAATCCCTCCAGAGGACCACAACTACAACACCTGTACTTCACCCACTCGGTCTAATCACCAACTTCACCCACCATTGTTGATTCAACTGTTGTTCATCCCCATTGATTGCACCTATTCCATCAAATACTAGTAAGTCAAGTTCAATATGCTTTGTTACGATTGGGTTTCTATTAACAGTAACTCCTCCACACCATCTTCTTTGCGCTCTCCATCTATCAACATAAATACCTCTAAAGAGGTTCATAGCAACACCAATTGTAGGCAAAGTCCATTACCGAGATTCACAGGTATTGCCACTGTCTATTTCACCCTATTCGTATTGCTCTATGTTAGAGCAAGCATCTGTTTCTTATGCTTCTAGTCATTCTAAAATCCCTCTCAATTAGCCAAAGTCATTGAGGATTCATTTGCCAAGCATAAAAGTTGGTTTTCCAATTGGTTGATTCAATTTTTGTAGTTTTTAACTAGTTGTGTACCAATGCGATAAAGCAAGATGTAATCAAGTACTATGTCGAAATGGAAGGAATTAAGGTGAAAGTTATATTCAGTATTGGTCTAACTTTATTGAACACAAGCACGAAAATCGAATACATTGTCCCAAATTATTGTATGATGAAAGCAAAAACAAATATCTAGTAAATAGATGACTTGAGAAATGAGCACATTATCTAACTTGTACAGACAGAAAGAGAAATAGAAATGCTAATCGATCGAAATAAAGCTAAATCCTAACCTGTTGATTTGTCATAACCAAACCTTGAAGACTTGAACTACAATTCATTTGATTTTAATGCGTCATAATGATGATGCAGTAGGTGAATCAAGGTAGGAGAGGTTGACTGATCTTTATGTATAGAACCATAAACAAGCTGAGGGTGGTGAGTCGATGCTTTGTGATGCTTCTAGTATATCGTATTCGTCAACGGTTGATCCTGATGTTTAAAACCTTAACAGTAAGAATATGCTTCCTGTCAGTGTTCATTGAGGTTTGGAATGCGAGAGATGGCAGTCATCAGCTGCCGTTCGTCCAGTTTAGTTCGAGAAAAAGAGAAGAGATTAGGGTTTCATTGGGCTGGATTGAGAGGAAGGGAATGACCCAGTTGGGTTAAACTGGTGCAGAAAAGGGATATATACATGTAGGTCAACTGGTGCGGGTAAGACCTCAAAGGTCCGCATGTTTAGGAGTTTAAACGTGGAGATTTCCAAAAGTCCGCATGTTTAAGAGATTTCAAGAACATGATGTAAACATTGCATAATCTAGTGAAGATAAGACTTAAGAGCACTAAATTAACTTAAAATTGTATATCGTCTCTAGTCTTGTAGATAACAATGAGCCTTCAACTAAAGGTTTAGACCAAAATGTTGAGGGTTTGCAGAAATAAGAGAACCTAATCAGATCAATTTATAACTAGGAAATACATGTGATATTTTCCAATAAGAAAAAGATCAACCCATTTGAGAAACAAGATATATAAAACAGATAAACATCTTACCGAGTCAGAATAACTCAAATCATAAAGATCTTCATCATTGACTAAATCATCAATGTTTAACTCGGGATATGGCCGGCAACCATCTGCATAAAGCCACTGGCCTTTCTCAATTTTTCTACAGTTGGGGCATTGCATCACTCCCTTGACATTGAATGCCGAACCAATGCAATCTGTACCAAACAAAACAAAATCATGTAGGAATGCCCTGAGTTTCGCACAAGACCTTAGCATCAGTTACAGTAAGCTTGCAGATTGTGATAAAAAGAACACAAATATGAATTACATTGAAACGTAGAGAACATAAAATCCAATAGTCTATTGATTGAAGATACTATTTGATGTTTCAAAAGTAGCTTTTTGAAATCCCAAGATCTATGTTTGACATGGATTCAACCAGTCATGAAATCAATGAAGATTATTAGTAATTAAATGGTAATACTTCTGCAAGTGGTCCGTAAAAGCTATAGGTATATACACATCTATATTAATTTGAACTTAAGAATTTCATAAAGTGGTCCCAATAAAATACTAGGAGGATGAAATAAATGATTTTATTGGGTGGAACAATTCACAACTGTCAAATCATTGAGGCAGTCACTTGAAACAATGCACAAACTCCCAATCACTAACGAAGAGGTCCATTATTTTATGGAATGAGACATTGCATAAAGTTCAAACCACAACTTAGGCATTAAGATCAAACCCTACTCAGGGGTTTGTTCATATTTTTCAGTTCCAAAAGTTTCAACTACTAAATTGAGCAAACTACTGGTCGAGAAAAATTCAGCATCCATTTCCAGGTCTGTGAAGCAGCCTCAAAGTAATGAATTACACATATGAACGAGTGCCTCAAAGTAATGATTTACATATATGAATGCGTTGGCACCGGATGCATCTCCGAATCTTATACATGAAAATTATAGAGAACTAAGAAGCTTACTGCACCAAGAGACACTCACTGCTATTTCATAATTCATATAAGTAAAGAAGAAATATAAGTTTTGGGCAACGGTATTATTGCAACAGCCATAATAGTGAAAAGTTGCAGAAGCAACACAACTGTCTCAATGAACTTTTGCCAATGGCATAAATTTACTCTGCTACAGGTTCTCAGCAAATTCATACAACCTCAAGCAGAGTTTTGCCTTCCCACATATGCAAACAATTAGAAATTATTCATCTTACATCAGCATTGCTCAATTTAACTGAAAATTAAATGTGGTAAAAGTGATGCTAACTAAAAGGAAAAAACTCCTGACGACAAGAAGCGATAAATGATACCTTCCCCCTAGAAACATGAAGGAGAAAAGCAAAAATCGAGGAGTTGTTATTTAGTGCCTTCGACTCGCTACTTATAGTCCTGTATAAGTCCTTAATGAAGTGGATGTGGGTTGATCTAATTAAAAGACCATTGCATGTTCGTTTTGAGTTGTCCAATTAATGTTTTCGCAAACAACACCTGACTATAAGTCAATATGACACCTTGACCTCCTACACCTAGGGTTAATGGGCTATATAGGTTGTATGGCTTATTTGGTAAGCCATAGAGACCTGTTCGGTTGCGGCTTAATGATTCAACTGAATGCTTATCCGGTGAGCCACAATAGGTTAGTCATATACACTCAGCCAAGAGTATTCCACAAATACCCTTAGAAAATATTTGTCTCTTCCACGAGAAAAACCTCCCGCAAGAAAAAGCTCGTCTCTTCCGGCACCTCATTCCAGCCATCACTGGTCAGACTCCTCATTGCCAGTCATGCCTTCCTCCCTCCTCGTCGATCTGGCAACTCCCATCGCCGATCTCTTATCTTGTTCATTGGATCTGCTTTCCCCTCCATCGATCTGCTCAAGAAATGAAGCTCGAAACTTCTAGAATGAAGCTCTTGATTTTTGAATACTTCTGGTTTGATGCTCCCGAATTTCTAAAATTTCTAAATAAATCAGGTTAACTCAGGGGTTCCAAACAGAAGAATGATGCATCGACAACGATTGGTTTTTCATCCGACCCTTTTTTACCCACGACGTGCCTAGACACTTTGGCTCTTTATATTGCTTCCATTTATGATGCTTCGATGGTCACGATAGGATTAAATATGATTGTGGCTACTTGGTTGGACTTGTTCTGTTTTTCTTGGTATTGAGAAGTCTCCTTATGAAATCTATCAAAATTGAGCAATTTCCTATGAGGATTTATTGAAAATTTAGTTTGTTGAATTTGTACGTGTTGATACTTGTGATTCTTTACTAATTGTATGCTCTTTTTTATATCTTGCTTTAAATCATTTTGCCAATTAATTACTGAGAATTTGTTGCTTTTTAGCATATCCGAGGTGTTTGATGAAATGGTTAAAAGAAATGTGGTGCTTGTATTCTAGGTGTTTGATGCAATGGCTAAAAGAAATGTGGTATTTGTATTCTAGGTGTTTGATGAAATGTCTAAAAGAAATGTGGTGCTTGTGCATTTAAGATGTTTGACATAGATTGGGGATAAAATAGTCATTTCTTACACTTAGATTCTTTAAAAAGCACAACAATCGAACAATTTATCTTAAATCATACAGACAACTTCATGCATATAGGACTTAATGGTAAACCAAGTGAACAACCCCTTAGCCATGTAAAAGGGTTGGTTGAACAAACAAAATATCATATTTGCTACTGCATACTAGTCTGTGCGCACAACAAAAAACTAATCTTTACTCTTTCAGTTCTGTGTGGAAATCCACTAGACACTTTCATATGCATCTCCTATTTGGTAACTATATGCTTCAACTTCACCTTTTAGACCCATGGCCTCAAATCAATCAAGGCACATTGTCTAATCTTGATATTTCCCAATCCCAGCAATAATCCATTTGAAAACTATATGTTGGAAATCCTATACAGGCTATTATACATGCTAAGTTCTCATTTTTTTGACATGGCATAAAAGCATGTGGATGCTTGCACACTCAATGAAATAGCAATTAGCCATTACTAGTTCACTGAGACATATATAACCTAATGTCGTACAAAACGAAGAACGGAAAATAGCAGTACTATTTACTTGATTGCTTTGCTTGTATCTAGTTATTCAATTCATATCCTCAACATATATTACGCTTAGAAAGAAAAGTGATGATCTAAGTGTTGCTCACTTTTAACTATTACTATCAAGTTCATGTATCAACATCATATACTCCAAGCCATTAACAAATTCACTACAATTAACTCAAAGCAAGATGGATGGTAGATCCAATAAGCAAAGCAAGTAAATTTTCTTAATTGATATCCATGAATGGGTGAAAAGACTCATATATGATCCCCATGTGTACTAGAGATTCCAAGATCAAAGTCTAGCGTAAGGGTTTAGCATAGGCAGCAAAAAAGCTAAGAACAGAAATTAATTGTTAAAAACACATAGATTCAGATAATTGAATGTGGAAGGATCCCATAAAAAACATATTTTTTCCTACAAAACATATCTTCTAAGTAATCCCCATCCACAATCTCTATGTCTCATTACTAAGTGAACAGTCCCAAAAAGGATACAATTTCATTATGTTCTATCCTTACATTGAACATTGAATTTACAAACAAGTAGTTGATTCCCCAGAAATCACTACTTAATACAAAAATAAGAAGGCAATTCACTGACCAAGATGGAATTGATGACCGCATTGGAGCTTCGCCCAAGCACGATCCGCGTAATCTGTAACATCCTCGAGGCAAATCGAACATGGAATCGACGAAGCAGCTTTGCCGCCTCCCCCTCTTCCTCCACCAGCAGCATCCCCATCATCTAGAAGATCTGCGTCTTCCAACCCCATAAATATAATTCAGAAGCACACAAATCCCAATTCCCTTCTTCAAAAAAAACACAAGAAATAATCTTTTCAAAATCCTTAATTGTCCAAAACCCCTCTTTTTGAGGTCTTTTGATCTTAAATAATTACTTATGATTTTTCAAAACGACAAGGTTAGGTAAGGGTCGAGAGAGGGTTCGAGCAAAGATAGAACAAAATAGCTGATAAGAGAGAATAAGAGAAAGATGTGTAGAGAAGACGGAGATGGTTTCACGATTGTCGTTGCTGGGGTGGGAGCCTCTCAACTATTTTGCCATATATTTTTCTAAGGGTAAATTACAAAAATCCCTTGATATTTATCAAAACTTTGGTTTTTAACACTTCAATAATTGCAAAAATCAATCACTATAGTCCGGGATGTTAGAAATGATAAATTTATGCTAAATGTCTCGCCCGTACAAGTCATATGAGGGTATTTTCGTTATTTTACGACTATTATAATACCCACATGAGATATTCTCGTCATCTTGTAAATACTATAAGTGTATACAAATTCGTAAATAATATATACAAACATTTATAATATATTAAATAAAAGTAAATACCTAAACCCCAATCACCCCCCCCCCCTCCACGACAACAACCGTCCCCTTCCACCATTGGTCACCGTTCACCTCCTCCGGCTACAACATCATTCACCTCATTTATTCATTTTTCCTCCAACTACCACATTAATTATTTTGTTTGCCTTCATATTTTAAAACTGAAAACCAACAACAATAGAGAAGTAAATGGATGCAGACATTGGCGGATCCATATGTATATTGTAACATCCTTGTTTTCATTCAAGAGAAATGTTACGTAATCTGAATCTTTTTCCTTCAAAAATGCACCCAAAAAGATAGCTAATTTAAAACCATCTAAACTATTACAGCGGAAGTCTTTGAAATTATCAAGCTTAACTCAAGTTCTAACCCACTTACTTTTGGGGTTGAGTTACAAAAGATCATTACAGTGCATTTTAGACAAAAGACTAAAACAAGATGACAATAGGCAACTCCCTATGCCTGTCCCTT